TTTTGATAATACCTTAAACGACTTCTCTAAAGACCTTTCGTTTCTTTTAAACCATGGCGTTTCCTGATCCTGAACTCGAGGCATTTGCCTTCAAGACCGCGCCCCCGTTGGACGCCGCATGGCTGGAGTATGAGGAAGAGGTCAAGAGAGGGCCTCCCCAGACCTTCAGCTCTGTCTTGGAGAGACAGCGCGTTTATTCCCAAGAGTGCCGTGACTTTCAAGCACGGATGATGGCACCCGGAGCACGAGATTACGAGTTATCCCAAGGAATCTCTAGGAAAAGGTTCACGATTACGGCTTCTCTGGATGGGTTCAACATTCCTGTTCTTCAGCTGGAACTTGCTGAACATCAAAGTCGAGATCCCGAGATCGTCATCATTTACTATCACGGAGGTGGTCTTAGACTCGGCGAAGCGGATAGCGAAGAACTCTCTTGTCGACGCCTTGTCAAATCTGGCGTGGGGAGAGTCCGCCTGTACTCCGTCGGTTATCGACTCTTACCCTTGAATCCTGCAAATACATGCATTTCGGACTGTATGGATGGATTCAAAGCGTTCCATACGCACGCAAAAAGAGTAATTGTTGCGGGCAGCTCGAGTGGCGGGCAGATGGCTACGGCGATAGCTCAAGCGGCACCTAAGGGTTCCATCCATGGACTCTTACTGAGATGCCCTGTTACGGCTGATGTGCCTACTGGCATGAAATTTATCCCGGAGCGACTACGGCCATATCACACCAGCGTGTCACCTACTTTCATCACATCACTGAATGGCTACCATCGACGAGATATTCCAAGGGATGGCCTCGAGAGACTGCCACTCGAAGTTACAAAGGAGGAACTGCAGGGCCAACCTCGAACTTGGGTACAGCTCTGTTCAAACGACACGATATACTCGGATGGACTTTGTTATGTATTGGCCTTAAGAGAAGCCGGCGTTGAGGCTCAAGTGGAGATTGAAGTGGGCTGGCCTCACACATACTGGTTGAAGGCTCCACACTTACCTCAGGCTTTAGCCGCCGAGAAGAAGATGATAGACGGGCTGAGGTGGCTGCTTCAAGGATGAGTAAACTAGCAATTCCTGCGAACTATGGACAAGTCTGTTTGCTTTCTCTCACTGCTTTGCGGTCACCATTTTTGATTCTCGCCTGACTAACCGTAGGTATTCCACTGCTCCTGAACCAGTCGCAAGAGGGCCCAGTCTCTGAAATCGAAACCACTCTTCCTATAAGCCGCACCAACACATCAAAGCTCCACGATGTTGGCATCCGAAACAGCTAGGGTAGGCTATTAAAGGCGCGTCTCGTCCCCCTCACATCATACCGCCGTGCGAGTGTTCCAATCCACCGATCGATACCACCGATCGCAGGCACGCTAAATGTGTTGCTCAGGAGAACTGGTCTTCCTGCCCTGTTGGTTGCTGTCCTCTGCCATTCGGCGGCTCGAAAGTGGTGTCTCCCGGGTTGTTGTCCAGTTCTGGTGGCCTTGATAGGATACAGGATCGCCCCAGCCACTAGAAATAGCGTTTGGCTTACATGGAGATATTCCATCCCAAAAAGTGTCTGGGATTCCGGCAATCTCGACGCGGTCCTGAGAGCCTTCCGTGGTGACATCCCAATCATGAACTCCACGGCGGGAAATTGTCGGAATGGCCCGGTGTGGAACCCGGGTCGGCTGCTTCGACTTGTCTGAGGATGGTTCCTTGACCTTGGCCCTGTTGGTTGGGACCTCTCAGAAAGTCTCATCACGAGTAGTGTTGGAGCTTGGGTGACTTTTTCCAGCTCTCTGCTTGCTCTCGAGCTGCGTGAAAGAGGCCGTCAAGTCCAGGACTAGGGTGGTAAGTTCATCAATCCTGGACTGAAGCTTGACGTTCTCGTTCCCCCGAGCAGAACCCTACCGTTAGGAACCGCTTTGCTCTGATGCTCGCATGTCTAGCTAGCCGCAGACTCGACTTCTTCGCCAACGGCCATATGGAGAGCAAGGTTAAGTCGACTGTAGGATGGTGAGATACATTGCCACAGCAACCGGGATATCATCAGGCAAGGTTGTGATTTAGTAACTAACAGTGTAACTTGGTCTTAGTAACGTACTTGATAATCGAGTCGGTTTGTTACGACTTGGACCCGTAAGCGATGGGCTCTATAGGGCAGCTTGCCCACCTAATTGACTACAACTATTGCGACCAAGGCCCAGATCTTTTGCCCTATGGCGCAACGGAATAGGTGCCCGTGACACGTATCACATACCTTATGACTAACTTGTTGGTTTTTTTTCAGTAATTAATGAGTTGCTAAAATGCTAGTTGTATCTATCACAACCTGGCTGTCCTCCTTGGCCAGCCACTTTTACTCGTTTCTCGATCAGGGCCCCAGAGTTGTCTCAAGCGTGATCTGTATTTGAAAGGCTTGTATAAACCCGACCGGTCGAAGCCTGCACCTTACCCAGAGGGTGCTAGTTCCAGGCTTGTCGGTTGTCATTGTAAGTAAGTACGGTCTTTACGTAAGTATGTTTCCGGTAGGCAGGTCCCTTATTAGGACACAGGACATGCGCAGCTGAGCTGTTCGAAGTCGCTGCCCCCTCACGGCTTATCTAGTCCATCTTGTAACGCCTCATGGTTTCGCCGAGCTGGACTCATAACCCTCCATATATAGGCACTCTCCGACCCGCAGCTCGCCCTACGGTAGTGTTCACTAGAACACATCTCACAAGACGTCAAACAAGCATTCTTAGCTTTGCATCCCGCAACTGCATCTCCTCCAGCTCATCCAGCATGGCATCGGCTCAAAGGCGTTCTGTGTCAAGCCTGTTAGGTGCCCCATCAGCGGGATGTGCAGGCGTGGGCGGTCAACCCATGGTTTTCAACTGATCAAAATTCTCTCACATTTTTGTCAAAGCTGCAGACGCAGTCTATCCCCCAGTAACCGAGTAGTAGAAATGGCCAACGTGCGGCGGTAGGGAAAACCCGTCAGTAAGGATCAGAGGCTGGCGTGCAGCTTGCCTTCAGGGAGAAATACCTCTGCAACCAGGGTCATTGTTTGGAGGGCGTTGCACGCCCTCCAATATCTCGGTCTACCTTGGTTCTGAACGCAGTTGCGCGGTCCGACTGTGTGTTGAAACCAGCTTTGCAGAGGAAAATGAACTCTCCCAAGGTCTTGCTCTGTGCCTGTTAAGGCCCAGATGGGACCCTGAATGTCATTAGAAATGGTAAAACTCTGCTCAAAGGTATTGTCGCACTTATTAGCGTGCTCAAGGGCCGAAGGCAGGTAAACGATAATGAGCTGCGTCAATGTGTTGATTGATTGATGTCTCAAGTGTGGGGTGCTCCAGCCCACAGACAGTACTTGAAGCACACAGCTTAATTACTACCAAGTGCTGCAGTTTCCTGAGGCTCATTGAGATCATGCCTGCCCTTCAATAGGTATGACTGATGATCCTATTGCCGCCACCCCGCTTACCGAGGCAGCGGAACGAGCAACTCAGTCCGCTACGAAAAGCGCTGGTTGTGGGGACCGATGGAAGAAGGAGTGGATTTGGGTTGATTGCAGGGGAGCGACGTACCACCAGCGAGGCCCTGATCACAAATCATCCGACAACGCCCAAGCTCCAAGGTGAATACGAGGAGACTACATCTTCCAACACCGAAGGAACTTCCGCTGTGTCCAGTGGCCAAGCAGCAGATTCTCAAGAGGCCCTTGTCCGGTGGGGCAGAACTAGGAAGTTTGTGGCCCGACATCAGACGTAGTGAGTTGGCAGGCTGAAGTTTTCGTGGAGATCGCACATGCTGGACTACATATTGGCACTAATGTTACGATTTGCCCTATTTGGCGAACCCGAATATTTCCTTCCTTCTGTAAACAGGTTAGTTTCCATCTCCCTGGCTTCAGGGGGGTTGGATCGCTTGGATAAATTCCGTGTGGTGTGTACTAACTCGCTGTTTGGCCACCCCACGACTGTTTAGATGGAAAACGGACCCGCCGCCCGCAAGACCGCTGCAGCCGGGACCGCCGTTGACTCTTCTACGGTGATACTTCCCCAGAAGGCTCCATTGCCCCGGATCGATAAGCTTGCCAATCCCCGCATAGCATCCTGGCTAGACCCCGAATGCCCTTATATATATATCTGGCATCTTCGTTCACAGGAGGCACGATTGCAACGACAAGCGAAGGGAGCAAGTACGTAGCACTGCATTGGGAAACAAGTCGTGTTTCTCTTTCGCAATGTTTTCCTCCACGATCTTTCTATCTCTTCTTTTTCCTCTCACGATTACCGCCCAGTCATGTGGTACCCGCTGTGCGTTGTACACTTTAGCGTGGTCCGATCAGTTTGATGGCAACGCTGTCGATACTTCTATGTGGAATTATCGCACAGGCCCGAGATTGGCGAGCTACCAACGTAAGGAGAATGTTGAGCAGATAGATGGCGAACTCATCATCACTCAGAAGAAGGAAAGCTACCAGGGTTTAAATTAGTATGTATCCATGTGTATATGTGGCTTGCACGACGCTCTCTGACGAAGTCAACTCTCTGTACAGCACTGCCGGTGGTTTAATCTCGGTTCCCAACTTTCATTACGGCTATTTTGAAGCCTATGTGAAGCTGAACAAGGGCGGCGGCTGGCACAATGCCTTTTGGCTAATGTGCGGAAAGTACGTCTTTCCATCTTCCTGTCCCACACAATGCATCACGTATTAATGAGAGTGACCAGTGGCTCGAAAACAGTATACACGAACACTCATACTGAAATTGACATTTTCGAAATTGAAACAAGCAAGCCCAAGGAAATGATTAACGCTATGAATTTCTGGCTTGGGAATGGCAACCGGGCCAGTGGGTATTCTGCTGTTCATCGGCCCGGCAAGAATTCTACCGAATGGAACCTTCACTCTGCACTCTGGACCGAGGAAAGGGTCGTGTTCTTTGAGAATGGAAAACTAGTCTGGGACTACACCTTCGGGCCACAAGCATGGACTCATAACTACATAAATATTTGGCTCACAACCGTTGCAAACGCGGCTTTTGGTACCGAAGATTCTGCATTGCCATCCTCCATGAGAGTAGGCAATGTCAGCTATTATCAGAAGGACTATGTAAGTTTCTTTCCTCAGTTGGTCCGTATGGATATGAATTCACTGACGCCTCATAAACCAGTATCTCACTTCGAGTACCCTCTGCTTCTTTGGCAATCCCAGTAGTGCGAATTGTCCTTCCAATGCTGGGTATTCGGAGACAGGCAGTGGTTGGACGACGTCGAGTCTCAGCGGTTATACAAAAAAACTCTCGACGCGCTACGTCACTGGATCTTCCAATGCGGCGGCCATATGGTCCCTTTCATCGCTCAAAGTTTCTGGCACCTATGACGTCTCGGCATTCATCGTCGTATATTCAAACTCTGATCCCAAAGCCAAGTATCAGCTACTGAAGAACGGGCAAGTGGTTCAAGAGGACATTGAGATTGATCAGACAAAGGGGGTTAATCGCTGGGCAGTCATTGCATCCAACGTCACGATGAATGCTGGCGAAAATTGGGCTGTGCGAGTCAAGGCTTCTGGCGTTGGGTCCATCCGGGCAGATACCGTAAAGTTTATACGAACAGCTTGATTGATTTGCTAGGAGAAACAGAGGACGATAGCCTATCGCTGGCATCTTCTCGTTGACATTATCGTTATGGGGAAAGTTTAATCATAGCCTTGCTAAACTCTCTTATTGAGCGGGGATCTCATCTCATCAACTGTTTGCGGCAATGTTGCTGTAGTAACATGACCCTCAAGGCCTAAATAACAACGGCTATGTCTAGAAGCCCATAACTCCGAAGTAGAGACAGGCTTGGCCCCTACTGCACACTAAGGGGGGAGCTTGATTCAGCCGAAGGCTGACTATATTAATCTATAAATTTTTGGCTAAGGGCGGCAACTGTTCAAACTAGCGTAGGAAATAAAGAAAGTAAACTAATCACAATATCTTGATTAATAGCTACTGCATGAGAGGACGTCTAGATCATTGTGTGTTAAACCGAAGAGGTCAGATCCGTGATGCATGCAGCGCTGCCCACAAATCAAATGCAATCAAACAAACAGCCAAACAAATCAATCAAATATGCCAGAATCTTATCTCAAATCAAACAAATAGGAAACACCGGATTTAAAATAACATTTAATATATTTAATATAGGGTAAGAGGTTAAGCGGGTAACCTGCTAGGCTGGTAAGCGAGTCTTTACTACTTACCCGGAACCTGATGGATACCAGACAGTGGACCCGACCAATCAGAGCTAGTTTTTCCGATATCTATTAGTAAGCTACGCTTAATAACCACATAAAAATCAGCCAAGCCCACAATATTAAACCGCATCAAAGCCAGTCTGTTTACTTCTCCCCGACGCATACTATTCCTTCCTAATCAACACTTAGTCCGATGGAATCTAACAACATCATGCTCCCTTCCCCACCCTCTGCCTTTGCCCTTCTGCGGCCACCGCGAAATTTAGCGAGACAATTTGAACTGACGACACAGGTAGCTTTACCTGACCACCCCATCATTGCAGATCTTCCGCGGGCAATATAGAGGAACAAACGATATATTTTGGAAGAGTCCTTATCCCGGAAGGGTTCGAAGGGCCGAAAGAGCTGGATCAAGCGCCATAGATTCTTTCTCGTTAAGGTTGACACTAACGATATTCCGTTGAGTCCTTACTGGGCCTGTCGTTTGTACGACGCGAAGGGCCAGCCCGAGTTCTTCGCCGCCGCTGCTGCTACAAGTTCAGCAGCTAACCACCTCCGCAAGTATGAGAATACGACGTCGCGAGCTTGAGCATTATTAACCACATATAGGTCTTACAGGATCTTCGAGAGCAGTCAAGGTACCGATACAGACCCGTCAACTGAGGAATCTGACCGGCCCAAGCGACAGCGCTTACAGTACAGCACCGTACCGCGTGCCAGAGTCAAGGTAATCCGAGAACTGAGCCTGGGACTTCTGCTCAACACCAATACTCCCTTTTCTTTCTTTAGCAATGCATTCTTTCAACAACTCGCCTGGCGACTTAACCCTCACCTATCTGACCAGATATCATAGAGCCGGCAATCAATGAGCCGTCTGCTTGATAACACATATAGGTGCAAGAAGGATAAGGTCAGGCAGGAGCTTTCAGATGCCCTTAGCAAAATCCATCTGGGGTTCGACCTATAGACTTCACCCAATCAGCACGCTGTCATGGCGGTTACAGCTTATTTTCTTAACCGCATAGGCAAGCACCAGTCGCATCTACTAGCACTTCAACGCCAGCTCGGGTATTACAGCGGGGAAAATCTGGCGGTAACGCTTGGGCGAGTTGTGCGTGAATGGAAGATAGAGGATCGAGTCGGAACAGTGATCTCAGATAACGCATCTTCGAACAACAACTGCCTTATGAACTTCTACGGAGACCTTAACGCAGAAATAGGCTCGGCGGATATTCGGGCTCGACGCATACGCTGCTATAGACATATCTTGAACCTGGTTGCTCGTGCGTTTCTCTACGGCGAAGATTTCGAGGCTTTCGAGGCCGAATCGCAGGTCTTTGACCTTCTCAGCCGATACAAGGATGACCTACGTTATTGGAGAAAGAAAGGGCCGGTGGGAAAACTCCACAATATTGTCAAGTTCATCAGGTCGTCCCCTCAGAGGTATAAGCTTTTTAAGAGGATCTCACGCGAGAACGATAAAGCACAAGAATATCTCTTGGCGAGTAAGTCGACGGCGGAGCTCGAGGTAGTCATAAACAACGACACGAGATGGAATTCCACTTACCTCATGATCTCTCGAGCGCTCGTAAAGCAGGGAGACATTAGGGCGTTCTTGGTCCATCCAGAGGTGGAGAAGTGGCTACCCGAGGCCGATATGTTGAGGGGGGATAACTGGAGGCTCTTGGCAGAAATCAAGTATATCCTTAAGCCGTTCTATCTGCAGACCATAAGAACGCAGGGGTAGGGTAGCGAGGGAGGTAATAGACAACTTTGGGAGGTAATAACAGGCATGGAATACTTGCTGGAACACCTGGAAGATCGGAAGCTGTTCTATCAGGCTGCCCCAGACGAGGCAGCAGGGGAGAACACCGATTCACAGGCCGAACTACCCCGAGGGTGACCAGACCGAAATCGGCAGCTTCCTGCTAGATTGAGGGATTGCGAGATGGACCTATATCCACGAAAGTCAATGGAAAGCTCCTTGCCAGGTCGCGGCTCGGGACAGTATGATGATAGATCGGGCAAGCTATCGGGATCATTGGGAACTGACAGCATGGGAAAGGACCACCGACGCTATCTGAGACTCTCAATCATCACCGCATAGCAGAAACTCAACAAGTACTACACCAAGCTTGGAGAGTCGCCGTTGTTCGCCGCATCCATCATCCTCCATCCGTCGCTCGGCATAAGCTATCTAGAGGCGAATTGGGCGTCAGAGGAGCAGCTTGTGTAGGTAAGGGATGCCAAAATCAGACTCTCTGACTACCTCGACCGCTAGTACCGCTGCAACGGGCCGGTGGATGAGCAGCAAAAGGCAATTATGGAGACTGCGGCACCCCCAAGCGTACCACCGAAAATATCAAAAGGTAGTGTGTTTAAGGTGGGAATGTAAAGAGTTTCATCTGATTCGGAAGGTCTGATGACCAAGTTTTAGGTCTCGAGCCCTCAATTTAGGCGCTACATTGAAGCCGCATATTTTCCCATGAACGGATCTCGACAGAGCCGATCTGAGCGGAGAGCGAGATGTCGTATAGGGTGCTGCACGTGGTTGCGTATGTGGACGGTCAAGACATGCCGCAAGAACAGATAGCAGCAGCCGCCATTTGCTACGGTATTGACGATAAAAGCTCAGCCATGCAAGCTACACGGCCAAAACATGTTGCTCTATATTTGATGATTATAAGATTAATTGAACAGATTTCTGACCTTTGATTTTTTAACGGTATTCTACAGTCCCAAAACTTGGATTATTACTCTGGTCCGAAAACTGGGATTAATCATTCATCCAGTCCCAAAACTTGGAACATCCCTGACATCAATCTTGCTTTGCTCGCTTGAGAATTGAGCTGCCAGCCAAGACCTCCTCTGGGGCCATATTCCGCTTTGACGAGCGGAAGGAAGTATTACCTTGATGCAGAGACCCAGTAGTTGTCCCCTCATCCCGATCCGATATGCCTTGCTTATTTACATAACCATTGGTGGGTGAAGATAAACCGCCGCACTTTTTCGATCTTCCGCCCAGATGCCCGCCGCTTCGCAATCTCCGAAGCCAACTTTCCTCTTCTCTTCGTATATCATCAGGTACTCCTTGGCACTTCGTGGCTATCTCCTGCAGCTCTGTAAAACTAATAATATCCTTGAACGAGCGGTCTTTATGAACTTTAAGCACTCGTGGAAATCACAAAGTAAAAGATACAGTATTCGCAGGTTTATCAAAGCCAGCACTAACTACTTCCACCGTAAACGGATATTTAAATAGCTCGGCTGGCTGTAGCTTCTATCCGGGCTTAAATATAATATCGAACTCCAGTATAGATATAACGAATAGTACTTATCTGAAATATCTATATCAATTAAGGTAGATAATATTATCTTTCGAGATATTATACCTGTTAACTATATTAATAATCCGAAACCTCAGCTTTAAATTAGAATATTCTTTATTTTCTATATATATAATATAGAATACTATCTACTATAGCTTCCTAATTCTAAGCTCCTGCTTATTATTTATATTACAGCTTCCCCTGATAATAATAAAGTTAATAGTATCTCTAAGGCCTGGAATATAATCCTTTTTTAGCTTAATAAATAATTTACTTATATTAAATAAGAAGTATAGGTTATTATAACCTTTTAATATAAGGCCTTCCTACTATTATATAATAGCTTAAGCGAATAATTTACTAAGCTATTCTGTAGTAGTAAATAATAAGAATTTAACTATCTTACAGGATCTGATATTAGTATAGTCTGGAATACAGTAAACTAGAGATTAAAGTAGTTATTACTATATCTTATAGCTATCTCTGATATAGAGTATATTATCCAGTAATAGAATATTATAGAATATAATTATAAGATACTCGCTTAAGTCAGTAGGTAAATCCCGAGTAGTACTAAGAAGTTATCCTGATCGCTTTATATATTTACAGATTTTATAGAAAGACTTAATTCTCCTATAATTATTATTCTATACTAGTAGCTCGCCCTCTAATATATACTACTTCTTAATCTTATATTCTATTATATCAAGTCTAAGGCTATTCTATAATAGGTAATAAATTCCTATACAGTTAATAGTTAAATCCCTTCCGCTCTTTGAGAAAATCTTTATACAGGTTCCGGATTTATTCAGAGTAATATAAATTTAATAATATTCTCTATTATATTTCCACTCTATACTTATTTACCTAGTACTAGCTAGTTAGTAGTAATATCTAATACTTCTAGCCTTATCATAGATCAGCCGAGTAGCTATTATCCTAACTTATAGCTTAAGCTCCCGGTAGGCAGCTGCTCTTAGTCCGTTACGAGTACCTACTACTGGTTGAATAGGTATATATCTAATTATTAGAGCACTTAGAAGGTTAATAG